CCTGGCAGCCATGGTTTCGGAGGCCTGGGCTGCTCGGGTTAGCCCTCTTTCACCGCGGCCCCGCGCTCCGACAGAGGCTTTTGGGGTAGTAGCTTAAAAGAACTTTGATACTATAGTGTCGTCGCTCAGGAACGTGCGGCGTGTGGGGGCGTTTGAATGCCTGGTAATAACGAGCCACATCGCGCTCCATTGTCACAATGGGCCACACTCTTAGATTACTGGAGACAGCCGAGCCTTCTGTGCCCCGTGACGTCGTTTGCCGCTACGGGAAAGTTCCCAGGTGGCAGCGCGTCACTCCCGGGATCTTGGCGCTGCGAACCCTCAGGAACTCGCCAGAAGTCGTTCTGCCCTGCGAAAGCTGGACAGAACGGAGCCTTCTGGTTCCGGTGCGGGCGCGCTGCTCCGTCCCCCACGGCGCCACAGGCTCAGGTTGGCGGCCCAGTGGGCTTCCCAGATTAAGAAGGAAAAGGTGCTCCTTCGGAAGGCACTGGAAGGAGGAAGGTGGGCTGAAGTCGCAGCGCTGGCTGCTTTGCTTCCCAACCTAGTGGGTCGGCCTCTCCCTGACCGGAGGTCGGGCGGAAGCAGCTTCCAACTAGCGCTCCGACGGGGGTGGGAGGAGCAGGAGTGGGAGTCAGGGACTCAGGAGAGATAAACAAGTGAAGGAACTTGAGTGTTAGTACGCCCAAAATCTAAGCCAAGCCCCTGGATTCAAAAATGTTAATGCCCTCCAGAAACTTAACCCCATGCTGATCTAAGTGGTAAAATGGAAGAAGGGGAAGAGTCATGTGATAACAAGGTGGGTCACTTAGGGGAGTATAAACTATAGGAATGGATTTAGTTTACGATGGAAATGGAAAAGGTAATTCAGAATAGGACGTGTCTTACAAAACATAATGTGAACTCTAAAATTAGTAGAGCCAACATTCAAGTTAGAAGCAGACTCACTGGAGAGGTGAGTGACTGCCAGGTCACAAAGCTAGAAGTGTGGTCTGCTGAGAAGCTTGGATGCGATTCTCTTTAAATGATGCTAATCCATTATAGGAGTTTTAATCAAAAAAGGCAGTAGCAGTCAAATTTGCAGTTCTAAGTATCCTATTATGCTGTCTGTGCTGTGAAAAAATTATTAAAGGGAAAAGAACAGCTGTTGTGAGACCACTGCTGTTTTACAAGGGTAGGGAATAGGGAAGATTCCCCTTTCCTTCTTCTGCTTCTTTTGGCTGGCCAAATACTCAAATTAACAAAAGGCAGATTGACAAGAGAAAATCAAATTTAATATCATGTGCTATGGGAACACCACATACAAGGGAGAGTCAGAGACCATGCATACCTGACAGGTTCAGAGATAGAAAGGAAGATTGAAGTATATAAGACATCCTGAGCTAGGGATGATGTAAGGTATTTGGGGAACTTCAAAAGGTCACTGGAGGATGATAAGAGCAGACATTCAGTAATTAGAAGTTTGCCCTGTCCTATAAATAGGTCAAAAGAAGTTATCCCTGGTAATCTCTTTTGGGCTAGGTCTCTAATTCAAATTCTTCTAGGTAATTGGCAGAAGAAGGCAGAAGTTTCTCTTAAGCCTGACCCTAAAATTGCCTTTACCTCAGAGTAATCTGCATACCACTGAGGCACATCTTGGAGTATAACTTGTTCTGGACCCTCACACAGGCCAAAGTGACTAGTAAATAGGTCAGTGATTGTGGGGATGGAGAGGCAGGTTAAGAATTACAGAAATATTTGAGGTAAAACTGTCTAGGTTTGCTGATCTTTGATGGTTAATGCTTTGTATCATATATAATAAAGCTTTGCCTATGCCAAGGCCATGAAGATATTCTGTGTTTTCTTCTAGATGCTTTATTATTTTACCTTTCACATCCAGATCTGATTTACCTCAAATTAATTTTTGTGAAAGGTATGAAGTTGGAATCAAGGTTTATTTTCCCCTAATATGGATATCCAATTGACTCAATCTTTTTTTAAAAAACACCACCATTTGTCATGTCCCCCATTAAATTCTTTTAAAATATTTTTTATTTTTCAATTACAGTTGATATATAATGTTATATTAGTTTCAGATGTACAACCCAGTGATTGGACATAACTTACAAATGGTCACCCCAGAAAATCTAGTACCCCTCTGACATCATACATCATTATTACAATATCATTAACTATACATCCCTATGACTGTTCTGTAAGTACCAATTTGTGCTTATAAATCATTCACATTTTTCACCAACCCCCTACCCCCTTGCAACCGTCAAAATGTTCTTTGTATAAGTCAGTTTCTGTTCTGCTTGTTGGTTTGCTTTTTTAAATATATAATCCATCTAGAAGTGAAACCATATGGCCTTTGTCTTTCCCTGCCTAACTTACTTCATTCAGTACAATACCCTCTAGGTCCATCCTGTTTTTGCAGATGGCAAGATTTCATTCTTTTTTATGACTGAGTCCTACTCTATTGTATATATGCATCACTTCTTCCTTATCCATTCATCTGTTGATGGAGATACGTAAGTTGCTTCCACATCTTAGCTATTGTAAATAATACTGCAGTGAACATATATGCAGTGAGCATATGTCTATTTGATTTAGTGTTTTGGGTTTCTTCAGTTAAATACTGAAGGCTGGGTGGAATGGCTGAGTATTTTTTTGTCTTTGTTAAAGCCTTTTTTTAAAAGTCTATTTTGTCTAATATCGGTACCCCAGCTTTTATTTTTCCATTTCCATGAAATATCTTTTTCTATACCCTCATTTGTTAGTATATTCTTCATTTCTGAGTGGTTATTTTTTAATCTTTATTGTTGAAAGTATTACAGGTGTCCTATTTTTCCCCCCATTGATCCACTCCACCATGCCCCCACCCCCTCCCCAGGCCTTCACCCCGTTATTGTCTGTGTCCATGGGTTATGCATATATGCATATAACTTCTTTGGTTAATCTCTTCCCACCCCTCTTCTCTGTGAAATGCTTCAGTCTGATGCATGCTTCAGTGTGCCTGGGTCTATTTTGTTTGTCAGCTTATTTTGTTCATTAGCTTCTTAAAGAAGATCCTTCAACATTTCTTGTAGTACTGGTTTGGTGGTGATGAACTCCTTTAGCTTTTTCTTATCTGTGAAGCTCTTTATCGGACCTTCAATTCTAAATGATAGCTTTGCTGGGTAATCTTGGTTGTAGGTCACTGCTTTTCATCACTTTGAATTTTCTTGCCACTCCCTTCTGGCCTGCAAGTTTCTGTTGAGAATTCAGTTGACAGTTTTATGAGTGCTCCCGTGTAGGTAACTGCTTTTCTCTTGCTGCTTTTAAGATTCTCTGTCTTTAACCTTTGGCATTTTAATTATGATGTGTCTTGGTGTGGGTCTCTTTACGTTCCTCTTGTTTGGGTCTCTCTGTGCTTCCTGGACTTGGAAGTCTATTTCTTTCCCCAGGTAGGGGAAGTTTTCTGTAATTCTTTCTTTAAATAGATTTTCAATTTCTTTCTCTCTTTCTTCTCCTTCTGGTACACCCATAGTGCAAATGTTGGTACACTTGAAGTTGTCCCAGAGACTTTTTACACTGTCTTCATATTTCTGGATTCTTTTTGCTTTTTGCTTTCCTGGTTGGTTGTTTTTTGTTTCCTCATGTTCCACATTGCTGATTTGATTCTCAGCATCCTCTACTCTACTATTGATTCCCTGTAAATTATTCTTCATTTCAGTTCGTGTAGCCTTCATTTCTGATAGGTATTTTATTAGGTCATCGATGGTCTCACTTGTTTTCTTAATAGTCTTACTAATATCCTTGAGAATCCTTATAACCAGAATTCTGAACACTGTATCTGTTAGCTTGCTTGGTTCTATTTCACTTAGTTCCTTTTCTAGAGATTTCTTCTGTTCTTTCCTTTGTGACATGTTTCTTTGCCTCCACATTTTGGCTGCTTCCAGGTGTTTGTTTTTATGTATTAGGTAGAGCTGCTATGTCTCCTGGAATCTGTAGAGTGGCTTTGTGTAGTAGGTTTCCTTTAGGGCCCAGTGGCTCAGCCTCTCCAGTCACCTGAGCTGGGCCTTCTAGGTGCTCCCCTGTGTGGGCTGTGTGGACTGTCCTGTTTTAGTTGAACCTTGGTTGCTGTTGGCATCGCTGGGAGGAATTGACCCCCAGGCCAATCGGCTGTGAGAACCAGCTGCAACTACAGCCAAAGAGCTGCTGTGTTGGAGACACCCCTATGGAGCAGGATTTACTTCAGTGGGGCTTTGGTGATCACCAAGTGCTCCTCTTGAATCACTCATNCACCAAGTCCTCCTCTTGAATCACTCATGGATATGGTAGGGTTGTAATCCAGTGTGGGCAAAACTGACCACTATGTACACTGTCTCTGGGGCTTCCCGAGAGGTGCAAAGTCAGCCTCTGCCTGTGCCCTGCCCAGGGCCACCCAATATGAGCTACACAGTAACCTGTAGATGGCTGCT